GGTTAAGAAACTGTGCCATACACTTTATATGTTACACTGATGTCAGGGGATATAAATTATAATTACAGGCATTATTATTCAGAGATGCCGCAGCTCCTGACTCCTGCATCCAAGCCTCACTCCTTGCCTGTGTACCTCATAGACTTACTGGGATGTGACAAAGGAAATCTCCTATCAGCCCTGTCTGGATAGCTAAGAACTGTTTTCAGTAATAAGAAAACTGTCTTGATAAATCAGATACTTGCATGTCTTTAAAATGTCTGTTTTACTGTTTCTTCTAAGATTTTGTTCTCCATCTGCTTTGAGGGAAGCAGATAGATTTCAGCATGGCTTTATAATAAATCTTCTTGAGGAGGGACTAGCATTAACATTTGTGTAGGTTCTTTTTCATCTTAATCCAACCTTAGTTAATAATCAGAAAATTCTACATAGTGGGTAAGAAGATGTAATTAACCCTTTGACCCCAGAATCTTAATTGGCGCCTGTTGAAAACAGTGGGCAGTTAAAAAAAAAAATTAAAAAGTAGCCTGCAGTGATTGAAGCGCATAGTATATAATAGCTTTCTCAATTCAAAATTTTAAAAAATTCCGCAGAACTTTCAGATTAATCACATTTGGTTTCTGAGACTTCTGATTGAACGTTTCCTTCTTCCACCCACCTTTTTAAGTTGAGACACCCAAATTAAATCAATATTGATGCTTTTCTTCAGACTTTTCTAAGCAGCAGACTACAGCTAACGATAGACAGGAACGCCCTATGAATGGAAAGGTAATGGCTGTGTGAAGAGTAACTTGCCAATCTGCCTTAGACCCAACTTCACACCCCATTCCTTATTTGAAAGGTAATCAAACCTGAATTGTGGGTATTTGTCTCAGACTATAGTTATAATTGACCAAAATGATACGTATAAAAGTAAAAAAAAGAAAACAAAAAAATAGCTAATTAACCAAGGTGTTTTTTTTTTTTCCTATTTAACCTCTACAATGACTAACAACTAATCTGACTCGTGTTTTCTCTACCAAACTGGCTGTTATTTTTAATTGAATTGACTGGATGTCTTTGTGTCATGTAGACATAGACTCATTTTAATCTCACCGGGAAATTGGAACATGTGTCAAAGCCTCTATTTTTGCCAAACAAAACTGGCCAGGTCTTAGGTGGCTGCTGCTTAATAGCATCAGATGTTTAGCCTCCAGATATTCCTTCTCCCTGCCATGGTGCCCAAACCTCCTGAGTATTTTAGGAAGTACACAGGATCTGAATCTAATGTTAAAAGTTACAGTCTCCTTAGATGAGAAAGTAAAGTATGTGTGTAAATGAAAATGATATATCTATTCAGGAACAGCCCTGAATACTTAGTAAGGCCATAAAAGGTCTACTCTAACCTTGATATTCCAAATATCCAGACCATCTGAGAAATCCGTGGCATCTAAATCTGCAAATAATCTAATAAATCCTAAATAACACTTTTGGGCAAAACAGTTTCCATCCCTCTTTGTCATTATAGCATGTGTGTTATAAAACAAAAAGCATTGAGCTCAGAAGTATAACTAGATTTATTTTTTAAATTTTTTTTAAACATTTATTTTTTTTTTTTTTTTTAGTTTTTCAGCAGACACAACATCTTTGTTTTGTATGTGGTGCTGAGGATCGAACCCGGGCCGCACGCATGCCAGGCGAGCGCGCTACCGCTTGAGCCACGTCCCCAGCCCTATCACTAGATTTAAAAAGTCTTGACTGTGCTATTGTTTAGGTGCTTGTTGGACAAAGATAAGCAAGACTCTGTTCCACTGTTGAGAAATTTGTCATGTCTTGTTGAATAAGCCAACAAGGATTATACAATGTTGTAATATTATGGAAGTACAGAAGATTCAATCTTGGTTCTGCCACAAGATGGCTGTCCCATCTTGTCCAGCCATTTAGCCTCTCTGTGCCTCAGCTTCCTCACCTGAAAAAATGAAGGTTTAGACTACAGGAGATAATTTCCATGCCAACTTCATCCATGCCAACTTTCTTCTGCTCCCAACAAGCCTTCCGATTGTCTCCACAGAAGTTCTCCTGTGATCTCTCTCTGTGTCATCACTCTCATTTGACAGTAGCATATGAGAGATGTGATTTGAGAAGATGGCCTACTGAGTTCTCTAATCATATAGAGCCCAAGGCTATTAGGTTGAAGGAAAAACCAAACCAGGACCTTTTCTCCAAAGGGAAGGTCAAAGGGGGAGGGTTCTAATCCTCATAAGTCAATTATACCTGTAGTCTGAGACAAATACCCATAATTCAGGTTTGAATACCTTTCAAATAAGGAATGGGATGTGAAGCTGGGTCTAAAGCAGATTGACAAGTTACTCTTCACACAGCCATTACTTTTCCATTCAAGGGTGTTCCTGTTTACAGTTAGCTGTATTCTGCTGCTTAGAAAAGTCTGAAGAAAAGCATCAATATTGATTTAATTTGGGTGTCTCAACTTAAAAAGGTGAAAGGAAGAAGGAACTGTTCAATCAGTAGTCTCTGAGAAATCTTGTTTCAGATAAAGATGTGTTCAAGTGAGGTCCTTCCCGGATTTGTAGGAAGGAATCTTCTCTCCATTTGCACCGGTTTCAGGTGCAGTGAGATCAGCACACTTGTCTCCATAGATTCAAAACCAATGCAAAGGAGGAATGAGGGCATAAAACATTCTACAGTGGAAAGGTTAGACCTGACGAGGCCCTAGAGAGTTTGGCAGTTTGTCAAAGATAAGGACCCCATATCTCTTAGACAGTATTTTGTTCCCCACAGTTGATTCCAGGGGAAATACCATAGAGCAAAGGTGACCATGTGACCTCTTGTGCAAATGATTTATAAACTCTTTTGTCATCCCACTTCTGGGTTTTTTTTTTCCCTAATGATCTATCGTTTGAACCAAGTGATGCAGTTCAAGAAGTCGTAGGATGCCTTTTAGTCTAAATATTTTAACTTAAGAAATGCTGTGAACATTTGTCTTTTCAGAAATCACCCATATCAATTAGACAATGTTTATTTTTAGTAGAAAACAGAATAGTTATTGAGTCTATTAGGACACAAAATCAAACTCAATTAAGGATGGGCTGTTGCCTAACTTCACTAAACCTCAATTTCATTGTATATTAAATGTAGATGATATTTGTGAAAATTTAAAAATACATGCATACTGCTTAGCACATACTGCTTAATAAATAAAAGCTGTTATTATTTTACTGTCTCACCTAAAAAAATTTCTATTGGGTAATTCACTCTTTTGTGAAGCAATATAATGTAACTTGAATTGTCTTCACAACTCACTAAATCAGAGGATACGATTGGTTGCCAGCTACAGTGTCTATCCATTGTGGGGCAGTGAAAAGAAGTCAGAAAACATGAAAATCCACATTTTATGTATGCATATAAATAAATACACATGTATGCCCAAATACATATATCTAAACATATATGCACAAATACATGTATTTCATTGCCTTAGTCTGTTCTGTGCTGATATAGCAGAATACCTGAGATGGGGTAATTTACAAAGAAGAGAGATTTATTTCTTATAGTTCTAGCATCTGTGAAGTCCAAAGTCAAGTGCCCCATATCTAGCCAGGGCCTTCTTACTGCATCATCCTATGGCAGAAGACAGAGGACAAGAGAGCAATTGAGAGAAGGAGAGTAAGGGGACCTCACTCATTCTTTTATCAGGAACCCACTCTTGAGATAACTAACCTGCTCTAGCAAAAACAGCATTAATCCATTCATGAGCACAGAGTCCTCTTGACCTAATCACCTCTTAAAGGTCTCATCTCTAAACACTATATTGCACTGAGGGTTAAGTTTTCAACATATGAACTTTGGGAGACACATTCAATCCATAGCATTTGTATGCATACACATTCTTTTAAATTCAGTATTGTTTCTGGGGTTTGAAGGAATAGATATTTTACCTGAATTTTATGTACTTTTTCTACCTTTCTGTATTTAAAAACTATGTCATCAATTTAGTGCTTCCCCATATCTTGCTCCCAACATTGATTACATGTATTTTGCAAATTCACAACCTTTGTCAATGCCACTAATCCTTAGTGTTGCAAGTAAGTCTTGTGCAATCCACTTTATTAAAAAATAAATAAATGAAGCAAAACAAAAGACTTAGGGATGATGGAAACTGCAAAATGTGCTTGGACCACAAGAAATTCAAACAAATGTATTTCCATTTTGGGTGGCGGCTTATAGTTGGAGACCTGATGATTTACGTCATTTGTCGAACTAGCAATGCAACTCTCCAATTAAAAAGTTGGTCTGAGGTTTCAGTAGTTATAGATGATGTGCAGATACTTTCATTCTTTTGTTCTTTCTTTTTCTGTGTTCAGGAGTTCTAATAGAAACTAGATCTATCACAATAAAACTTTAATACTGAGTTCTGCAAAACAGGATAGCAGTTTGCAAGGTTTCAGCCTGTAAACATTCACCCATAATGTATTGACTTTTCTTATTTATTCTAACACAATAAGCACTGAGAATAAGGAGGGCATAATCCTCTATTAATTACTAAATTATTGATGTCCATAGTAGTTCAAGTAGTGATCCTACTTGCTCTTCCTATAGAAACTCTTTTTTTTTCTTCCATTTCAATTTCCATTCCTCTTCAGCTATTTAAGAGAATATCTTGCTGATTTACTCTAAGTAACCACTGAATCCCCCCAAAATAAGGGTGAATGAAATCTTATGAAATCATCACAACTTTATTTTATATGTGAATGTAGTGTATCTCGATCAAAACAATGCAGGCCAAAGGAAGTTCCTGAACTAAAGAAAAGTTTAGAGTTGTGATTCAGGTGTCTGAATTCGTTTACATATAATGCAGTACTGAAAGATCTTAGAACTTGGGTTGCATATGAAGAAGAAATGGTCTTAAATTCATGTGTTGCTTTATATCAGTTGCCTTGTTAATTAAATATCAGATGTATTTATTAACCTATTTATCTGTTTGTTTGTTTTTTTTCCTGCAGTCCCTGGATGGCTTTGTATTTGCACTAAATCAAGAAGGAAAATTTTTGTATATTTCCGAAACAGTCTCCATCTACCTAGGCCTCTCACAAGTAAGTGAAAACATTCAGATTCTTGGTGGCAAATTGTGAAGGCTCTCTCTGCCTCATGTTTTTCCTTCTTCAACGGATATTCTATTTAGCATGAATTATCAAATTTATTATTTAATGGGCTCTACCGGACTCACTAAGTCAGTGAGAAACCTGTCAGAATAAACTTGTGCTCGAAAACTTTAGTTCCCCTCCCTGCCCCCCAAGGATCATTATTAATTTATTGAGAACAAATGAAGTTTCTTCCCTCGGTTGTTTTGAACTTTGAAACCTCTGTGCCCAGTAGGAGAGGGACACACTAATAGTGCTTCCCTTGTGTCCTATTACTGGATGTTTATGGAGTACCCTGCATTATCCTGGGAGCTGACACAATGGCAGGAGTCATTTGGAGTCAAGAAATTCTGAAAGAGACCATTAAAATGTGTGGCAGGGAAGGTTCCAGCAAGGATATATTTTGCTGCCTTTGCAAATGCTTCCTAATGCTGAAAGACAATTTCATAAAATAAGGCAGTCTTTCATTGTTTGTTATTTAATTGCTCATATGTGTTTATCAGAGGGTAAAAGAAAAGAAGATGGATTCTGATGGGGCAAGTGACAACATCCTGGTTTTCAGTTCTTGATATTCCCCTGGAACACAAAAATTTTAGTTCCATTGGATTCCAAGACCCAGGCTGCATCTACAGAATGCCAAAATATCCTGAAGTAAAGTTTTCCATTCAGCTAACTATCCAGATGTTTCTCTCCATAAAAGTGCTAAGCATCTGGGTATTTGTGCCTGTACAGGTAATTGGCTAAGTTTGACCCTTTTCATCTGGTGGTTTGGAAGGAGGAAAACAGCCTAGCCTCAGAGGGAGGGATTTTGTATGTGTGTGACAATCTGCCAACTTGGATAATCTACCTCTCATCAGTTGCCTCTTGCAGCTGAAGCTAGAGATAAGATTCGCCTCTCTCCTCTTAAGTGGGGCCCACCCAGACCCACTGCTTCTCAAAGTTGGCACAGCTCTAAGGGAGCATCTAGCATGGCTGGCTCTTGGTGAGTTTGTTGGGTAATAGCTAAATCAAGAAAGACGTTGGAAAATAATAGAGAGAGAAGAGATTTGGCATTTCACGAGGGTTGGGGGAGGAGGAGAAACACTGCCAAAATTGACTATTTACTGTTGAGAATCCAAACATGGGGTACCATCATTAATGCTTCCTTTAAGAACATACAAGCTATCAGATGTAATGTGCAGAGAATTCTATTTTTTGTGGACTTTAGCAAACCAAGCGATAAAAACTGAGCTATTGTTAACTCAGTATTAGTATTCTTGTATCTTGTTAAAATCTCTGGTTTTGTAATAGCCTTTAATAGACCTTAAGCCTTGTCTTAATCTGCTTGGGACCTAGTAGTGAGAATCTTCAATTTTGAAATTGGTGCGCCACCATGTTGCAAATACTGTATAGAACTGGAAACGCCACTATTTGTTGTTCTGCAATGCCCATATTCATCTGTTTTATGTGGAGTATCCAACGAAGTTTAATAAGCCAGTAAAGAAGAAGGATGAATAATTAGTTTAAGCAGGTAAATGCTAATTAGGGAACTCCTGAAAAGCATCCATTATATACTAGCTCCAAACACATTTTACAGCCCTGGTTAGTGGTGTAATCCAAATTCTGTCAAGGCAACTGCATTTTCTGTAATTGAGATGTGTATGTTTGCTTTGCATAACAGATGGCTCTGTATGCTTAGACTGATAGCTAGGAAAATAATAATTGCATTATTCTGGCCAAAAGAATATTAGCTCTTGGGTTTTGGCCATTTCAGTCAGTCCTCCTGCCAGCACAGCATATGCACATATATGGATTGGATTTTCAAGGAAATTGATGCATCTGGAATAGTGTGGCCATCTGAAATATCATCTGTTCAAGAAAAATTTGGCTTTAACCCTGTGCTGGTTTCTCCTTAAATGCAGTTTATTTCTGTGCTTCTCTACTATAGCTTTAAGTCAATCTTTTCCTAAATCTGAAATAAATAATTGAGGTTTCTGCAAAAGAAAGTAGCCATGTAGAAATGGTACAGGATCTGGCAACTTCTGTGCACTCAGCTCCTGCTTTTGCATGTGGTGGCTTTAAAAGTGTACACCGATAGTCAACATCTTGACTTACCCAAGGCAGACCCTGGCTGGGATATAGGACAAAAGTCTTCATTTGGCAATATTACACAACTGAAATGATGAAGGGTCAGAAAAAAGTGATTTTTTTTTCACATACCAATCTATGTAGAGTTCAAAACTGAAATTTAAGAGGAGTTCTAGATTAACATGAAAATGGCCTATTATGATATAGCTTTAAATGCTGAAACTTAGGGAAAGAGTTTTCAAACCAGTTAAGCTACCAAGTCATACTAGGAAACTGGAGATCCCATTTGGGAGGTTGCAGGGTGCCTCAGGGAAATACGCAAACATATTCTAAGTCATTCAGTTAAGCATCTGGTCTTCTACCAATACAAACACATGCACGGGAGCACAACCATTACTAAAATTTGGACTGAATGCTCTGCTTGTGTTCTACAACTTAGGCTAAGTGATTATTCCACCATATTCTAGATAGCGATAAGGAGTTTTTAAAGTTATGCTCCCTCCTTTCCTTTTAAAACAGTTTTGTTAAATAAAAAACATGTGCCTCTATCAGCAAAGACCTACCCAGAGAAATTGCTGAGTATTGTGAGTATCTCTGTTTGTTAGGGCGGAGCCATGTCTGCATTTCTAACTCTCAAGATATTCCATCCTCAGTTTTATTTTCTTTCAACATGTAAATAAATATGGTGGCTTTAAAATGGCTTATGCCAATTAGGATTTGTTTTTGGCTTATGAGAAAAACCGTGAAGTAGGGAAACTTCTGCTGAGCTTGGTGGTGTAGCCTGGGTACAGAGCCAGCCAGAATGAATTTGTTTTTGCACGACACTGAGTATGAGAGTTCCTGGTGTCCAGGACACTGTGTGCTGGTCACTGTCATGTGCCTTGTGGTGAAGGAATGAAGTAAGCAATGGTAAGATTCGAGTCTCCTCAGCAGCCCTTTTGTCTTTTCCAGCAGTCAGATAGATATGTAACTTCACATCCAAGAAGTGGTTTTAGGTGGTAGAAGTATGCATTGTGGACTTGCTTTCCTAGGCAAAAATGATTCCCACTTACTCACCATGAGGCCTTCTCCTAAAGGAAGAGCCCCATATATTAAGGATGATTTTGGTTTACATAGAGATTAAAAGACTTCTTATCCCTAGCAATGGCATTCAGAGATAGCCAGACAACTCTGCTCCCTAGCTATGATGGAACTGGTCAAATGAAAATAAAGAAAGAAAATAGAATAGATTCCCTAATGCTGAAAATGTAACAATGATAATGTACCCAGCTTTTATGAAATCTCTTCCAAAACATAAGGGGCTTAATCACCAAAGAATCCAACAAGGACATTCATTTCATGATAAATAAAAAGCAGTTCTAGTTTATACAGAATTTAAAGTTTGGAGAAATATTTATATGTTGGCTTATATTCTTCTCTTTCCACAAAGGATTTGAAATAAACATTTGCAATAAAAAAATGATGTCCACATAGAACAAGGGAATAAAAATAAGCAAAAATGGGTAATATGTTGCCACAGAGTAGGAGAACACAAATAGATGCATTTATAAAACAGGATATAAATGGCCTAATAAAGCTTCAGATTTAGCTGTGAGCTTCCTGGCAACCAAAGCAAAAAAAGAAAATAGAATCAAATGCCAAAAATAGGGAATTATTGCTTTTCAAGGAGAGCAGTTTTTCTGGACCTGAAATCTGAAAATAGATTTCATATAGGATACCTACAGAGGCTAACATATAGATTATAGACATATCAATTTGCTTCCACTGGAGACCATATTCAGAGCAAGACTTAAATGACACATATGGCAAACACAAACATTTTAGAAATCTCATAAGCTGACAGCATCACCGCAGTGAGTCATGGCTAGGCTAAAGATCATTTTGAGAGTTCTGGAATTTAGGCCTTTCAATAGCATTGGCTAATTTGATGTTTACATGGTTTCAAAATCAGCTTTCCTTTTATCCACCCTCAAACACTGCATTTTCTTCTAAATCCTCACGAGAACCATAACAGTATAGGTGTCAGAGGCAGAAGACATGGGTCTCAGCAGAGGATAAAAATGGACTCATGCCTTCTGAAAACCTTTATCCTTGTGAGGTTGAGAGATGATTGTGATGCACAGCTATGCCAGCAGAATGTTTTCAACCTGGGAAATTAACCCCCTTTTTAAGGTTGTGACATCATTAAAAAAAATACCCTATGCACCAGCTGAAGCCTCTCTTGAAATGTGTTCTAATCACCTCCCACCCTCCTCCACATAATGAGTGACTTTCCTTCTTCTCACATGTCCCCACCCTCATATCAGATATTTCCTGGAGATCTAAAGTCAGCCAGAAGGTGGCTGCAGACTGGGTTACAGATTGGTCTGTTTGAAGGCAGCTTGCTGAAAGGGACAGGGTGACTGCCGATATAATAAGGGCTAAAAGAGGTGAAGGTGAAAAAGGGTAAATGGTTGTTTTAAATTTGGTCTTTTTTTTTTTAATCATGCAGATATTTATCATAAACTCCTTTCCCCATCCTGTTGTTCATCTCCATATTTTAGATTTCTCTGCATTTGTTATATAGAATGGCAAATAAAATTACAGCCACAGCGCACAAGTACAAGGTCAAATAAATGACAGAGCTCAGTCTATTTGTGAAGCTATTCTGAAAGGGAACCATGGTGCCAAATGTGGTTTATTTGAATAATAAAGAAGAATTAGATTCCCCTGATAACTTGGCCGAGGGCCAATAAATCACTGGAGGTTAAAGATGCTTTGCAACTGCCATGTCTTTCTTTTGCTTTTCCAAAGTGCAAGCCTCAACTCTTCCATTCTCTGTTTTTCAATGCAAATCAAGTTGAGGTTATGTGGTTAATACTCTCACTTCTGTGCTTGTAAAAGAT